GGAGTCTAAACAATCTTAGATTGTTGGTGCAAGGTCTGCGCAAAAACAAGGGGAGGCGTATGGGACTGTTCGAAAAAGACATACCAAGTACTGATAACGTTGCTAGGCGATTAACTCCTAGCCCAAAGAGAAGTCCCTCCTAGTCTTTGAAAAACAGACAGCCCCAAAACATTGGCCTGGAAAAAAGCCAGAGAACAACTGAGGCTGCACAGAGCGACAGGGAGAAAAGTTCATCAGCGAAGAAGAAGAGGAGACCTGATTACCATGAGAAGCGAGGGGAGGTGGGGGTAGACTATGTATATGTATAGGCGTTTTATGAATATGCACTATTTTGTAACATATAAGCCGGACGGGAGCTGCAAACGATGCGCATGCTTGTGGTGGAGCGATCCCCCATGCGCCCAGCGCTGAATAAACATACCCACTTTATAACCCCAAAAGTTATAGAGTGATTTCTCCGCAAAACATAATCTGCTTTACTAAATTACACTGGACTTTGAATGTTACAGTGTGCATGGGGCCTACACAATTTCAGAAGCACCCTTACATCTTTACGATATTCTCAAGATTTATCAATATGTTTATAATAAAGTAAATCTCAGGCCTGCAGAGAGGTCTGGATAGACTTCTGCAAGTTATCTGCTATCTTGAAATGTATAGGCATGACCATTTTACTGCTGTGAGCTTAATTTAATTGGTTCTGTTCAACTGACTGAAGGAAATACATTTGAATCTGAATATATGCTTGCATTTTTTCTGTATTCAGAACATTTCAATTTTGCCTATTGTTTTGACTATTTTTTTTCTTTCAGTAAGTAGTGGAAAGTGCTGTGCCAGTGTTCATATTTGTTTATAAATAAAACAGTTGGAGCTGAAAAAACAGAAGAGTGATGATGGTTTGCAGAATTTTGAAAATCATGATTTTCTGGCAGCAGTAGATTATTACATTGTAATTGTAACTGGTGTAGACAGTATTTTTGGTTCTTTCCTATATCATATTCCCTTACAGTGATCTTGTCCTCTAAATGTATATATTGCTTATACCACATTTTTCATGGCAGCTTAAGCAGGTATATTAAAGAATGAATCACAGAGCAGTGGATTTTGAATTCCCAGTTGTGCCACATCCGTCTGGCTCTGATCTAAATGGAGCTAATCCTGTTTTATTTTAGAGCAAGCAGGTGAAGAATTGGGTGATAGGCTCTGGCCTTAACAGGCTGTACGACTTGTACTATGCTGTCCTGTTCTTAAAAGAAGTAGTACACAAGATGAATACTTCTCTAATTGCATGTACTCCCACACACATACAATAATAATTTAATATTTGAACCTGTCTGCACATGATGATATAAAAAGCAGAAAATGCAGGTGGTTTATACTATCTGTGTATATTTGGCTGATTGTTTTCCATAATTGAACCTAGGGGTAGAAAAATCAATGTAAAACAGAATGTAGCCAACAGCCTTTGCTTTGGTGCCTACTGTCAGCCTTCTAAATTGCTGTTCAGATGGCACTTAAACTGAAGCCTGTTGCAGTTCCTGGATATGACTGGGAAACACCAAGTAGAGGAGTGAAGAAGGGGAGAAAGTAAAAAAAGAACAAGGAAAATGAAGAGGATATTTTGGAGTTAAGAGATGACTAGGAGGAATGGAAATGAATTGCAGAGAAAAAACAATAAGGGAAGGCATTTCTGAATCTTTTTCTGATTTCACAGCATTTCTAAGATGTGTGTTTTCAGCATGTGAAACAGTATGGGAAAAGCTGTCTATTAACTAACATCCAATATGCTGTAATCATGGGATCTTCAGATACACCTCCAGTAATTTGCACCTTGGTACTCCTCAGGTATTATCAGTGGTTCCTAAAGAAATATCTATAGTCTAAGTGTCAAATCTTGCTGGAGTCAGAGTAGTGGTCTGCAGGACAAAGAGTCTGCAGTCTGTAAGACCTCAGAAAACTGCTTGCTTATGAACTCGGTTATGTGGCTTGCCATCCTGGGTTCTCATGCATTTTTCTAAAGAAAACTTGGACTTCCATCCCTGCTGTGTTAGGACAGGGATTCAGTCATCTTAGTTAGTCACCTGTGTGGCATGCTTTTTAGAGAGCAGATGTATTATTATTTGGGAGTACTCTTGGGATCTGTGGTGATTGCTGGCTCAAAAATTATGATGGCATATGCCTCTCTAGTAGCAGATACCGTGTGTGATACAGCTGGGTTTACTTAAATAATTTGGAACTGGATCAAAACCATAATGCATGAAATTCACGGGTGGCAAAAGATCTGACTGAAATGGGATAAAGAATAGCAAGGTATCAATGCAATTTCCTAACCATTTCTTTATGTAGCAATTGGAATGATGAAAGCATTGTAAAGGGCAGTAGGACTAAGGCTTTTTGGGCTTAATGTCAATTTAGGAATAAATTACAGGTGCCAGAATTTGTGTGAAAATAATCAGTATTCTCAGTATTGTTAAAGATTGTGTAAAATTCTAATGGATAAATTAAAATGTTAAAATAAATACAATAAAGCCAGATAGCAGAAATGCTAAATAAATAGTGAGAAAAATACTCAAAGCCATTATCTTCTGGGTGTTGCAGGATGTATGTTTCTGGTAGAAAGAAGCAGAAGGAAAGAGATACAGAACCTGGACATAGAGACATTCAACAGCATATCAGATATTCGTTTCCATTATGATGTGAGCCAGGGTATGGCATCTTGGCCACGGTCTGGATGAGTGGGTGAAAAGTGTGGTACTGATCCAAGTGCCTCCCATATGGAAGACTGTACAAAAGTGAGAGGAGGGCTGGGGAAGGGTAGAAACCTCAGGTGCTAATAACCTGGTAAGACCAAGCAATAAGTGATGTTTTGTGAGGATATTCTTTGGTGTTATTTTTCTTCAGTTATATACAATTAAGTTGAATGTACAAATTATGATTTATATAAGGTTCTCCAAATTATCTGCAAAAATTGTGTCTTGCAGCCCACCTAGAAATACTTTTAAATCAGTTTTCCAGCAGCAGAATGTTAGTGGATAATGAAGTACCGTATATTCAGATTCTCACATTGGGAGTGAGCTGTTAAAAGACTAAGATAGAAGACTCAGAATCTGAGTGCAGGTAGTCCAGATGGTGCAGGTCTGCTTACTTCAGTGACTTCACACATTTTGGAGGCTTTCCTGCTTTTGCTCTCACAAAGCCCATTTTCTCTCTTCAGTGGTCTTCTGGGTTGTTTGTTTTTTGCTGGAATTACTGTGCTTCTGATGTCTTAAAGATTATTATACGAGTGTGTGAGTTTTATGAAATCTAATTTTGAGTGAATGAGAATCTTACTGGTGTATGGGTTATTTATACACATGTATTTAATGATATACTGGAGGTGCTGTGAATTTCTCTACTCCTGTAACTACCTGTTGGTTTAGATGTATCTTCTATAAAGATAGACTCCTCTGCAACATACACTCTCTTCCCCAGCATCTACACTCTCTTAGCAACTCTATTAGCAGTTCCCTCTAAAGCTCTACTGTCCAGCTCTGCTTTAGGAGACAGGAGGCCATGGAATGATGTATGCTGGAAAGTGGCCTTAAAGCTTCAAGAATTCATTAAGAAACATCACCACAGAACCTCCCTACTGACACTGTAGTTATACTAGCAAATAAAAGTTTGTTGTGGTGTTGCTCTGGTTGGGGCCCAAGATGGGAGACCTTTAGAGTCACAGCACATGCTACACACACATGTACAAGTAGAAACAGGAAGCTATCAGATTTCCTTCTTTCTTGGTCAGAAATTGTTGGGGGGTTACTGAAATTATGGTGTGGGAAACATGCTGCATGAACTAGTTCTGTAGGAGGAAGCTTAGCCAACTTGACTCCCAACTTCAAACTGTGCCAGCTTTACAGTCAATTTTTGATTAAAATCAGCAATTGGCTTTTAGTTAGAGCTAAACTGAGCAGTGCCAGGCTGTGGGCAACCACTCTAGTTCAAAGCAGAGTCCTTCAAAATGGCACCTTCCAGAGATTGTCAGCTGTGCTTTCCCCATTTACAGATAGCTATGGCTGCACAGACCACAAGAGGTACTCAATCAGAGTAAACTGCTTGCTATAATGGTCAGGAAAGAACCAATCTTAACCCTCCCTGCTGGTCATTTTTGCATGCTCTATGAATAATTATTTTTGTTCCCTTATTTCTGTAGTATTGGGTATTTACTGGTCACAGCTGTGGGCAACTTGGTTTGAAAAGCCAGATTCTTAGCTTGCAGTGAAGGGAGTTTTCTTCTTTTTATACCTGTTAAGAGGTTGGTCCTATAGCTCTGTCACAGTACATGTTTTTGTGTGTGGTTAGAAGCAGAGTAATACATAGTCCAGAATGGTTTAGGGGAACACTAAAACCTGATTTCAGGGCTAGTGCTGGATGAGAGTTGCTTTGGCCACAAACTGTAAAAAGTAATCAAATACTGCTGCCTGTAAAGTGCTTACCACAGGGACTAACTAAAAAGCCATGCAATCCCTCCTTCCAGATCAGTTTGTGAGGTAAGTTTTGTTTGCTGTGTTAAATGCCTTCTGAAGCACAGTATGGGTTAAGCAATATGTGGAAATGGCTTTAAAAGTAGTTCAGTTCACTAGAAAGTTAAAGCAGAATCATAAACTGGAAAGCTATTCTTTGGTGTGTAAGGGGAGGAAGGCAATTCCACCATTGTTCCCCACAGTGTACTGCTAGTGCATTGCTCCCCTAGTGCTGGTGTATTATGGTCTGTGCAGAGCTATCCAGTAAATACGGTCCTGGCCATTTACTATCTGCTAAACTTCATTAGAGGAGAGCACATTTTTTTCTGTCCTATACACATCACAGGGGAACAATCCTTGTTACAGCAATGGTTGTGTCATGCATTGGAGAGGAGGCTGGCTGTCCTCGTAGGAGGTAGTTACTATCCTCAGTGTTCTTTCCAGTATCAAGTGTTTGATATATCATGTCTCTGACTTCAATTCATTGCTTTCATTATATTTCAGGTATCACAGATGGCAAAGAAAACAGGTTTTTTGCTCCAAGTGAGTCCTAAAAGACTGCTCATCTAGAACTCTGGAGTGTGGATGATTACCTCGCCCTAGGTATTCTGTTTCTAGCCTGGTTTATGGGGGAGGTGCATATATTTAGCAGATTCTCTGTTTCTGCCTCTGTGCATAATAGTAGGTCATTTTGACCAAATGGTAAGATTGAACATGATAAAGTTGCAAGGTGATGATCAGAATCAGAATTGGAGAAAAATCTCTTCAGCCATCAAGTCAGTTTAGTCCTGCAAGTTAAGACCAATATATAAAAACAGGGTGGATTATTTATTTTTCTGAATTTTGAAAGCACAGATCACACAAGTAGATACTTATGACCCCAACACCAACTGCAAAGGCTATGCCTTGTGACTCCATGCTTTTGAAGCACAGTATGACTTGCCAAGTTGCATATTGAGCACTTTGATCCAAACCATGGGAAGCAAAGTTTTCTTCTGTGGTTTTGTACACTTAGCTTTTCTGATAATCATGCAGAGCTGTGGTTTAAAGTCAGTGGATTGAGTCCTACAGCTGCTGGACTTCCATTTCAGGACAAAGTTTTAGATTTGTGATATAAATAACTGAAAGATTAGAAATTAAATGGCTGTGAGTTTTTTACATATTTCTACATTTGTAGAGAACTATGCATTTTGCTTTGTCTTGATCAGCCCTGCTTTATAAAGACAAATAAATCCTATTTCCCCATTACTAATACTGACTTCACTGTCTTCCTTCTGGACGTTTAGTGCCCATAGCAATACCACTCAGTTTTGAGTTATTGGCAGTCAATTTGAGGGGCTGCATACGTCAGGCTTGACCTCAGTTACTGACTCACACATGATTTTTAGGCAAATTTTGTCTCTCAGCAACAAGGAGTTAATTTTTTGTAACTGAAAATCACCATGCCCATGTTGAGAATTATGTTTGTTAGAAAGGGTGCAGTACACCAGTTGATGTCATATTTTCCTTGCACATCTTTGCTTTGGAAAACATCTCTGAAATCCTGAGATTCTTAAGGCTGTTGTTGAGGCACTGTGTCACCAACCTGCCTCTCCCCTGTCTGCCCTCCCCACATTAACTTGAGCTTTGGTGGGAGAAGTCATATTAAGGCTAAGGGATCAGAATGGATGTCAGCTGACCTTTTTACATCTCATTCTCAGCATATATGCTTGCAGGAATTCCTGTTTTGTCCGTGGAGTGTTAGTTATTTGTCTCTGCCAGCATAGTGCGTATAACATGACTCTTCATTTGTATCTCTGTTTCTTTGCATGCTTTCCCTGGACAAGAGAGTGAATGGCTTTAACTGAAATGTTGCTGAGATGAAACATATGATTTAGACTTTTTTCTTAAAGCAGAACACATACATGGTTTCCTAAAGCTAAGATTTAGACCAAAAGTAAAACTTGAGTTTGGCTTCTGCATGCAGAGCAGGGTGCCTGAAGTTCTAGGAGATAAACTGCTGGTTTCTAGCAGATAAGCCACTGTATTGCCTTGTACAGAAAGACCTGCCCTCTGGTTGATCTGTTCACAAAGGAGAAAAGTAAGGCCCTGACAGGAGGTCTGATACCATACTTTTCTGTGTGAATGTTCTGCTGTTCCCTATCACTCATATGACTTGACTGGTATTTTTTCAACAGACTTAAGCAGATTCAGTTTTAGGCTTTTGTATGGGAATTGTGTGGATGTTCCCAGAGTGTAGGAGTGATCAGCAAATCATATTTTAACTCTCTCACTGTCTACTCAGTTGTGCCAGTGCTTTTAAAAGCCAGAATGTAGATGTAGGAGTGAATTAAACTAAACAGAACAAAGAGATTTGTGAAGATCAACCATAGTTTAATAAGGAGTTCTTACTGTCTTGTCAAAGGAGAGTGCTCAGAGTATAAAAGTGAGATTTTAGCTCTGTTGAAGTCAGTATCAGAACTCCCACTGACTGCAGCATAGTCAAAATTTAATCTTTAGAAACGGTGGAGTCAGAAATGAAACAAGCTGGAGGAGGCATGTGTATTATCATGGAGAATGACCATGTAATTTAATCTGTATCTTGTCTTCTTCTTCAAGACTGTTCAAATTTTCTTAATCCTTTCACCTGTCTTCTGTATATTGTTTTTAAAGAAATTAAAGCTAACAGTTCTCTGTTGGAGCAAATGATGCAATAAGCATGCTACAAAAGTGTAGCATGTACTGTTGTGGTGAGCACTCCACCCTCAGAAACAGCAAGGTTTTGACAGTGAGCTGTTCTATTGCTACTCCTGCTGCAGCAAGCTAGCCGAACCATCCAATCCACCTGTATGGTAACTGTTTACAAGAGCAATGATGCTGTGTTTTACAAGAGCTGTGGAAACAAGGCCTGTGCACTCCTAGAGGCTTTGCCTTGTTAGTGGAGATAGGACATAGCCAGTCGCAAGGGCTTGATAACTGAAAGCAGAGACTGTTTGTGTTCTTAGAGTGAATGCGGTTTAGTTTTGTGCATGTTATAGCCAGAGCTCAGACTAATAAAAGCCTGTGAGCCAGGAAGAGATCTGGAAAAGCCTGGGTGTGTAATAAAAAAACCGCATTCTAAGGGACTATCAGAATTGCATGCTTCACTGTGATCTGTCACTCTGTCAGACTTCAGCCTTGGTAATTGCTTGAGCTGGAGTGAGTTCCCCATGTTCTGTAAAAATCTGGGAGGTCTGAAACGGTCATGGTAAACACTGCAATTCACTAAAGTTGCCATGGCTGAAAAAGCATTCCCACAGGTTTCCTATTCTATCTGTCTGTCTCATTCTCTGCCTTCCACACAGACTTTTCCTTATGCTGTCATTTTCTCTGTGCTGTGTGGCCAGGCAGGGGATCAAATAAATTGATTGGGATGAAAAATTGGTTTGTTATTGCAGTTTATTCTTACTCTCATAGAGGTCCCTGCAAGGGAGTATATAACCAACTAGACCAAGTATCATAGGGGAGAGGGCAAGAAGGCTGGAACATGAGACGGGAGAAGATGAGTCAGGACAGACTTCTCAGAAAAAAATTGCAGCCATACATACCCCTACATGACTATCGGTCTGTAGAGGGTCAAGACCTTAAGTTCCGGTACGATAGAGGAACAGAGGCTGAGTTTTGGTGTAATCTGAACCATGCATTTTTTGCAGTTTCTTTAGTGTAGTTCTGAGAGAGGCCTACTTCAGTTGACCTTAAACTGTATGCTGCAGGAAGGTCCTGTTCCTGACTGGATTGTTAAAATATAAATGCTGTTAAAATATAAATTGTAGTGAAGAAGTAAGTGCCGGGGTATTCTTAGTATCTTCAGAGTGATCTGTGTACCTTTCCAAAACTTCAGATGATGTGTAATTACATTTAATACCTGTAAAAGGCACTAGAGTGATACTAGTTAAGAGTTGAGTCCTCTGTTAAAACAGATCTATCATCGTGGTGAAAAACATGATTCATTTGGGTTAATAAACAGCACTTACCACCTAAAATTCAAGCAGTCTTATCTCATTCTCCTGCTGTCAGACAGCTCATGTACTTCATCCTAGAAATGGTTGTTGTTTAAGTCCACTTTTAGTTGTTTTGTACAATTTTCCTAAAAGGAAAGGGGGACTTCTTTTTGTAGTCTCTGTAGAAGGGAGATTTGTTGAAAGAAATGGAATTAAATGGTTGTTAATAAAGCATTGGGATACTAAAATGCAACAGTTCTACCTAAAATCACCTCTGAAATATGCTCAAGACAAGTATGATAATATGATTAATGGCATTTGTCTAAAAAGGACTGCAAACTTCTCCACAGATGCCTGCCCAAGCCATTGCTACTCAGTCACATCAGAGGGACCAATCCTGTTCTTTAGCCATTTATTATTTTTCAATTTTATCCCTTCAAAAATGTCTGTATTTTGGCAGAATCATCAATTTATTCCCTTTGTCAAATGTTGCTGTAATATTTGCATACCTTACAGATTTTCAGGCAGAAGATGATTCAGTTTAGTTATTGTCACATGTTACATAACTACATTCATTTTTAAAGCACCCAGTTTTATAGACAGTTACCCATTGTATTTTGCTGGCCCTTTCCAATCTTTTACATTAGAAATGGGGTGGGGTGATTATTAGTCTAAACAAGAAAAGAATCGAAGGTCATTTATATTTACTGCTTTGAGCCTTGATATTTTGATTATGAAAATACTATTTATGCTATTTTCTGTGATCTCACACAACTGTGGCTTTTATTAGTTTAATGAAATGACTTGCTTCTTTTTTTTCCCCATGCACAGACAGAACAAAGGCTAGTTATTGCATGTCAAATGAATGGATGTTGCTAGTTTCTCGCTGTGGGAAGGCTTCTTTCCAGTTAGTGCATTTCACCTGGGTACCTACCTTGAGGCTGCAATGTTGGTACTGTGGTTATCACATATGGATTAGTGTAAGGTAATTCTAGTAGCTTTAGAGGAAAAGGAAGAACTTAGAGAAACCCCAGGAATCCTTTCTTGGGAAAGACATTAAGTCAAATTATCTTTTTTTTTTTCCTTTTTCCTAAAGTCCCTGGGACTTCTACGGTAAACAGAAGCAAATTCTTGTCCTGAAGCATCAGCAGGCTTCCTTACACTGGATCCTACCATTTACTATTGTTATTTTGTGTATTAAGTGACATGTTCTAGGATTCACATAAATAACGCAGAAACCATGGACAAAGGCTGCAACACGACATTTTTGTCCTCAATAGTGATGGTTCTACCTGAAAACTTTCACTGTAGAAGCCGTGGAGAAGCCATCCAAGGCAGCATGTGGCAAACTAAGACATTGTGGATACTTCTTCTAAGTCTTACAGTAGTAATCAGACACCCTTAATTCTGGGACCTTATGGAACTTGTAAGATTGTGGAGGATAGGATGGAATGTAGGAAAAGATACACTGACCCTTGGAACCTGGTTCCTGTGTTTGTATATGCTGCTTTTAAGAGACATATTCTCTTGGTATGATCCTTTTCCCTTTCCCTTTCAACTCTGGCACAACCATAAGGCAAATATTAAACTCCTTGTGTACATAATAAGTTAGTATCGGGAGGGGTTTTTTGCCCATGAAGAATA